ATAACAGTTTGGCGAGCCCCCCATTTAAATTGCTATTTTTTATTATCATTATTACTTTTTTTAATTTTTTTTGTAAACATTACCCAATACAATTACTAAAAAGGAAATTTAGCAAATCCTCCCGTTCCTTCGGTAAAATTCAACGAAATAAAGTTGACCTGATGCCAGGCGCCGCTTTGTGTAGCGAAGCCACCTTGCACTAAAGCAACTAATTGAATCTATCACGCGAGGAAATAGATTTATTTGTAACATAAGTTGAATTCGTCTTGACTCTGTACCATTACATTTGCGCTATACTGTTATCGTTATATATATTTCGCGTTGGGAAAAATAAACAATTTATTCTGAGAGGGCCATTCACCCCCCTATCCATCAATCTACTCAACCCTATAGCAAACAAAAAAAAAATCATCTACTTTCAAAATTACTTTAATTGATTCTCGGCTAGGTTGTTTGTCAAAATAAGCCAATTGCAGAGCGCATCGTATGCCTCTTATCGATATAGCTCCAACTCTTTACTTGCGAGTCCCTACTACTGAGTATATGGTATTAGTTCTAGATTCTTTGTAAATATTCATGAAATAAAAAAATTTCTCATCAGACAAACTTAGCAGGCTCGGTTATTAAAAGGAGAACAGACACATAGCTTTGAAAGCCGTTAACATTTCTATTCCAAGTTGTAATTTAGAAATCTTAAGGGGATCATAAAAAAAAAAAATAGTAAACCATAACCTGGATGTTTTTTGTACACATTGAAATACCTCGCAGCTAAGGAGCTGTATATATATATATATATGTGTTGAAATTGGTTAACATTGGAGATGACAAGATGAAACTAGAAATTAGAATCAAAAATTGAAATCAAACTTTCACGGTTCACTGTTTTCCTGTGAACTGCATTGGTAACTTCAGACAGACAACCTGAAATGCTGGTATAGAGTAATTAAACAAATCAAGGAAAGGAACAACAAAAAATTTTATTTAAAACTTGGCCCCCCCCCCCCCTTTTTTTCCCCAAAATATTATATTATCCCTACAAGAACACTGTAGTTTGTACTGGAAGGGACGCTAACTTGCTAGCTAACCAAGTGACTATTTTCTTATGCTACCTTCGCTTCAAACGTAGATCGCGCAGATGTATGTATAGGTATGCAAAATTGTGTTATCACAAAAGTATTACATTTTAGCAGCGTATACATATAAAAATACACATATACACGCATGTATGCATCATTGATGGTTGTAATAGAAATCATTACTACAGGATTACACATGTACATGTACACGTCTAATAGGGTAGTTTTGTTGGGCACTACTTTGTCATGTTATAGCTGCCAACTTTAACCACTAAAAGAAGAAAATTCTCCCTTTTTTTCCTTTAATTACTCTTACAAATTTTCTTTAATTATTTTAAACTTTATACTTGGGTTAACTATTTCGTTGGGCGGCACTTTGTCACGATTCTGCGGCCAACGTTGATCTATAATCGAAAAAAAAAATTTTCCCCTTTTTTTTTTTCTTTAATTAATTTTTTTTTTAAATTTTCTTTAAATAGTTTAAAAACTATACTGGGTTTTACTTGCGTTGGGCGCCACTTTGTCATGCGACCCACGCTGCTGGTAATATATGTATACATATAGATATAACTAATTCAGCCATTTATTTTATACATATAAAGTCAATTTCGATGGTCCGAAATTTCGTTGGGCGCCACTTTGTCACGGTCTTATGGCGACCAACATTAA